TTTAATTTATGTGTATGGCTTGGCTAGGCTCTTCATGACTCCAAATGTCATAAACCCTACTACAAATATGCATATCCTATTGAATCCATTTAGTGTTGCTCTTATTAATGGTGGTTGAGCAACGGGATTAGTTATGTTAACAGGGAGATCTTTCTTAGCGAAAATAATTTTTTACTTTTTCTGACTTAAAAGAAATATGTATCAATGGAATGTTCATTATGGGTTCATGATGCTCACTCTAGTAGCCAAAGACTATTTAACAAAAGAGCAGTATAGACATGAGAAACCACTTGTTGAGTTGTTGGTTTAGGTGAGTCCAATAGAGTACAAAAACAGTATTCAATACATGCTATTATCATTGCTCCTGGCTACATCCCAGAATTCAAAGATAAAACCCTATTGCAGAAGATACCATACACTTCAGACAGAGGACCTGGAGCAAAGATGTTGGAAGTGATCTGAAATCCTTTTGGAGTACTATTCCTGTACTATCAGAAAATGCTGAGTAACCTTCCAAGAGAGAAAATCAACCGATAGTCCTAACCATCATAAAAGCCAAGGAACCACAATGATTATCAACCTAAAGAGATACAATCACTGCTATCACTAATAAAATATTTAATTGTTATGTTACCAACAGCTATCTAATTATATGTAAGGCCTGCTCAATAGGAATAAATTAATGGCTGATTCTTTAACCTAGCCAACATCATAAACGCTAGAGGAGAAGCTTTTACCATCTCTTGCCTAAACCACTATGATCATTAAGTTCAATACCCATTCTTATGCTCACAAATTAGAGTAGTTCTAACCTCTCATGATAGAAACTTCTTTTCCAGCAAATAGAGATGATTGCAGAGATTCATAACTGGTCTAAATGCAAATAACATGAAATACCCATTCTCAACTGATACATACACAATGCAATGTATATTTATGGATAAGTGAAACCTGAAGAAGAGGAGGGCTGAAGAATCAGGATACCTTTTACTAGACCAGTAGTTCTCAACATTCCTAATGCTACAATGCTTTAATACAGTTCCTCATGTTATGGTGATCCCCAACAACACAATTATTTCATAGCTACTTTGTGATTATAATTTTGCTACTCTTATGAATCATAATGTTAATATATGATATGCAACATATCTGATATGCAAGCATAAAAGAGTCGCAACCCACAAGTGGAGAACCATAGCGCTAGACAGTGTTTTTTTTAATATGATACATAAAATCTCAGCAATATAGTTGCCCAAACAAAATTTAAAAGCTAATGCTACTTAACATCTCAGCACGGGAAATTTCAGAAGATCTCATTTTTAGGTGAAGAACTATCAACAAACTGTCTTTGGACTCTTGAATTCTGTTTATTTTGGCTAGGAATTTTCTTTAATAAACGATGAATAGAACTTAGCAGAGAGACAAGCTCCATTTGTGTAAAGATTGTGTTTACTTTATTTGATAGAGTAAACCGCTCATTATCCACTGCATTTATAACCAATTGGTACTCAATAAATATGTTTGAATACATGAATGGGTGATCTTGTCAAATTCTAAGTGATGCTTAATAATATCTGATTCAATATTTAATTCCACTGTACTTAAAACCACTTTAAAAGGATAAATAATATGAGAATGGTGATGAGCCTACAGAAAATCTGTCATTATGTCCTTCTCAAAGTATCATGTGCTTGGTTTTTTTTCCCAAATATGTTTTATGTTCTCTAAATAATTTTGAAAAAAATGAGTTCTCTGTGCCACAAAGGTTTGCCTGAAGTCGCTCAGGAAGAAGTGAGACCTGAAAGTAACATTGAAATTTAATGATGAAAACCAGGATTGTCACTTGCCACCTCCCATGTAGGAATATTCACCTGACATCTTTCCCAAGTTATTCTCACTCATTCCTCCTCACTTAGGAATTCACGTGCCATATGTGACCTTCATTTCTCCAAAACCTCACTAGTTTTTCAGTTCCGCTTTCTACCATACCTTGACTCCTCCTCCTTGGGACTGTGCTTTTATTCTTATGTTAGGAAACAAATATAAACTCATGTAAATAATGCAGCCTCATGTACATAAATACAAAATACCCATGAAACCTAATTGCATTATGAAGTATTTTCTTTATTGCTTAGCGAACGAGTGATTCAATATACAGAATACAAAGCAACTGGATTGGAATTTTGTGTTGGCTAATTTAAAGGACTCTCTCTCTCCAGAACTTTCACCAATTATAATCTTCTCATCTCAAAATCAGTTTATGTCTGGGTCCTTTGAATATGTAATCATGGAATACCATTGGCACTGAATTAGAAAAATAAGGCTAAAATCTAGACATATAAAGAAAAATATTTTATGAACTACCAAATCCATAAGGTTATTCCTGATATGACCTAAAACAATACATTTTAAAATAAGTAAATTTGAAAATATAAATGAAGAAAACTGAAAGTGCTGCAATGCCATTTTATCCATGAAAAGAAATTAAATATTTCTTCAGCATTGCAAAAATGTAACTTCTCAGACAAAGGTTATCATGGGTTACTTTTCAGAACAGCTAAAATCTCAAGACACTTTTTCAACTCTTTGTAAACTTTATCACACTTACATTTATTTTAACATTACAAAAAGTGAAATCAAACTTATGAAACCTAATCCAAGTTGTAACGATGCCACAGACTCTCCTAGATAATGAAGAACAGGATCCATGACCAGAGCTTTTAGATAGAACAGAAGGATCAGTTTTCATAATTCAGCAATATGGAAAGTCAATATACTGTCTCCCTTTGCTCTTATAGAACCTAACAAGGAAACAAGACCTCTCCATTGATTTAATATGAAAGTAACATAATACAATCTAGTAAATCTCCAAATAGGTTACATTGAAGGTGTATTTTAGAAACTAGTATAACATTGAATTTCTCACAGAAAGAACAGTCTGTGATTTATTTGTGAAAAGAAACCTCAAATTAATGGGGGAGAAGAGTCATATTTATGATCATGCAAAGTTTATAACTATTTATGACAGTTTTATTCAAGTATATATTGAAAGAATATAAAATTCATTACGAATTTGGCTGCTTCATAAAAGAAAGCCATAAATGCTCATAACTGAAGGACCCAGACCATAATATAGTAGAAATAGTTAGATTTGTCTCCATATGTATTTGTTCATCTGACAAAGCAATTAAGTTTATCTATATGATAAAAATAAATTAAATATTTATATATTTGAACCTTGTAACTTATTTTCACTCTCTCCTATGCTCTCTTTTACTGTGTAGTAAAAAAAGAAAATGGTAGTCACATTAGAATTTTCCTTTTCAGTACTACTCAGACCTTATGAAGAGACCCTTAAATCACTGCATATTTCATTTCAAATCTCAGATGTAAATTGAATGTGAACATTTGAAGCAGTCAGACATGTTCAACTGCTTTCCTACATGTTTTAAGTGAAACCACTGTATCCACTGAGTTTAAAGAGCTGTAGCAGGTAAGAAAATGTATCTAGTAAATTCCCTGCTTACTGCAACACAGAGCTCTTTACCTCTGAGCAGCTTGATGAGAGTTTAGGAGTCAGCTACAATGAATGTAATGCAAGTCTACTCCAAATGAAATACCTATTTAGATAGAAATATGCATTTTGTGAGACAGGATCCCTACATGATTGAAATAGAAACGTGCAGTTATAAAAACAAAAAGAAAACTGCTGGGGCAATTTTATTCTTCTTTTGTAATGATATAAAAGTACCTGTTCTTAAATATCTTCTACGAAACATGATATATTCAAGGACAAAAGCCATTACAGCACAGTATATAGAATGAATCATTCATTACATTGTCTGTACATAGAGAACATTTAAAATTCTAAGGCAAAAGGACAAATAAAACTGTATTACTTCAATGAAACATAAACATACCAAAGATCAAATTTTTAATCCAGAAAGGTCAATATTGCTTATGATCTTATCCAGTGCTCACATTCTGAGGATATACAGATGTTCTAGCTACTGGTAATGGCAATAAAACCTACATATAAAATTATCTTCATAGTAATTGTGCTTTACTGGAATTCTAAACAGCACTAAAGCATAGAATACCAAAACTTGAATGCAAATTTATTTAAAACAAGTGAAACAATGCATGAGTAGTGTTTAAAAAAAACTTTTAGAGTGTCTATTCCTTAACCAAATGTGACAACTTTTTCCACACTCTGTCTTCTCTACAGTCCAAGTGTGAGCATTTTCTTTCAATATCAGACTTCAAAGTTTTTGAAACGTTTTACAGTCCAGTCTTGTTTCTGTCACACTGGAGATTTGTGCTTGGAGGTAGTGTCACACACAAATACAGCTAAGACATGCATACTATCATGCATTTTAATTGATAAGCAATCAAACAGTGAAGACTGTCAAAGTTGTTTCTAATAAAATAAACATTATTTCTGGTAATATATATGTATACATATTTCACAGCTGATAGATGCATAGTCAAATCTAGCTTATAAAAAATTGTCTTAACCAGGAAAGTTACCCCCAAAAGAATGAGGGGGAAAACCCCACAATATTGTCTTATTATACACAGGCAGCATATATATTATGCTAAGTAACAAAAAGTTTCTGAAAGTAACTTTGTCTTTAAAATGCAGAATCATCCAGAAAGTTAGTTCAAAGCATCATTCAGTCCCAAACATAGTGGCAACAACATTTTACTCCTACTTCCCTTTGTAGAACTGGAGCTCATATTAGTTTTGAATCCCATAGAACTCGAAGAAGAAGAAGAAGAAGAAGAAGAAGAAGAAGAAGAAGAAGAAGAAGAAGAAGAAGAAGAAAACTAACATCCATGCTTCAGAAATAGGCTAATTTCATGCTGTCTCCAAATAAACAGAATCAGAAAATACAATGATGGCAAACATTGCACATGTCCAGGGAAGATGCAAATTACTCGGGATAATTTTTAAAGAAAAAGAAAATAGATAGTTTTAAGTCCTGGAATTTACTCACCAGTTTCCCAAATGCAGGGTTAGTAGCAAGAACATCAACCTCACTCCTCTAGTTTGACTCCACAGGAGAGAAGGAAAGAGAAAGGCTTTCCTAGAACCCATCAGGTCGCTTTTGTGGTCCCTCCTCCAACAGCTCAGTCCCCTAGCCCAGAGTTTGCCTCTCGCCTCAGCAGCAGCCCAGTGGGTACAAGGAGAGTGTGGAAAGGCAGTACACCTCGGAACCAGGTAGGACGCGACTCCCAGCAGAACTGATCTGAGGAGCCAATCAGACAGGGAGGATGCCCGCATAAATTATCTCAAAAAGAGTTGGACCAATCAGTGTTTCGGAAAGGCGGGGTTTCCCATACTAGAAATCAAGCCCAGTCGGGAAAAAAGACTCCGTATTTTTTTTTTTTTTTTTTTAATATAGAAGAAAAATAAACCTTTTCTTCCTCCTAGCTCCTGAGAAACACTGGCGTGGCCTTGACAATCCGGCTCGCAAGGGAAACGCTGCTTCTCTGCTGCCTTTCTGTTCCGTATAGGCGACACTACCCTCTCCGGAGCTAGGAAATATTTATTTATTTATTTTTCTTTTTAATTTTTTAATTTTTTTATTGTCTTCAAGAGGGAACCTCCGTGAAGTGTCCCTCCGTGGATATAGCCTAATTGACTTTCTCCGCGCTGGCGAGAATCCTGTTTTTGATTGATTACCGTTACTTAATTTTGATTCCGCCAGTGTCTTGTTTCTTTTTGCAAACGTAGGAACTGACACAATGCCCTCCACAAATGAGCTCTCTGGAGATGGGGACTGTAAAACTCAGTGAATGAATGAGCAGGCTGGGTACATTCCCGTTAAACTCGTTTCCGTCCCCACCCCCTCCTGCTGCCCGGGTTCTAGTGTGCCGATTTCCCTTCAGTCACTGGAAGATGACAGTAATGAAGAATACCAGGCAAGAACTCCCTCCTTTTACAAACACAAAACCCACAAAACTGATTGTACTAGCTCCCTCAGCCAAAGGCGTTGTAACATTTGACACGGGTGATCTTGTTGCTTTACCCCTGCCCAAGTGCGTTTCATTTGCATTTGTGAAGCCCCAGCTTTTGGTGCCTAACTTCAGAGGCTCGACTTTGAGTTCTCTACAGAGCCCAGGGGTTGTCATGGCAACCAAAAAGCCTCTGGCAGCTGGAACAACTGTACTGCAAAGACCGTGGCTGTGGAGAAACAGGCTCAGTGCCCAGCCATCTTCTGCCTTTACGCCTTGCTAAATCCGTGCTTCCCAGGGATGTTGCCCAAGGATGGGGTCCTAGGCTGCATCATTAATCACTCCACACCACCTGGAATTGCCTAAATTCAGAGATGAAGTGAAATGTACCGTGTAGTTACTTGAGAAGCAAACAGTTCAAAGCAGAAGTAACAGTCCTTGGGCACTCAAGGCGGTAAGAGAACTGTTGCTACTGTAGCCACTGAAATCCATTAAAGCAACCAGAGGAGCATAACAGGGCTACAGACTGATTGATTTTCTTTTTTTGTCTCTCTTCCTCCCTTTTCCCCCCTTCCTTTCGTGTTGCCCAGGATAGCAGATATTTCAGTATGTTTTCTTCTCTTTGACTCCCCATTATCTGAAAATACGTATTAACCTTCCTTGTTCCTATTCTCTTACCCTGCACTATTTAGCATTTTTTCTCTTCCATAAAGTATGTTAATTAAAGCAGCTCATATCTAATAATTCAAATAGCAATTAAACTCAATTTTAAGAGATTGTGAAAGGAATGCATTTACGTGGCCATGACGTCAATATAAATCCAATCTGTTTGTTTTTTTCCCTATGTCAGTTAACAACGAGGTGTGCACCATTATTTAACCATTATTTAAGGGTGCACACACAAAATCCAAGAATGTGATTACCAATGAGGCAGTAATTAAATTCACTAGAAGTACAGAGTGAACAGAAAATACTTTCTTTTACTCCTTGTATTTGGCTATTATTAAATGGACTTTCTCCACATTTCTCTGGAAAAAAATGATACCGTCTTATGTTCTACAACAGTAATCTTAGGCCATACTATCAATAACTTTCAACAAGGTCGTGCTCTTATTCTTCTAATATGTGACTGGAAGGTGCTGACAGCAGTTATAAGGAATTAATGGAAAGGAAAGGTGAAGGCTGTTCCCTTGGATGGTAACAAGGTACTTACTTACATTCAAAAATTTGGAAAGGGCTACAAATATGGGAGTTTTCTGCATTTTCTAAAATATAATTTCATCAATATGTGCTGAGGTACTCTTAAATAGTTCATTCTCTGTGGTAAGAATGCTAATCATAGTTCACCCTAAAATATGGGAAATGATGGAAGCATTTGCAACCTGCAAGAAAAGGACATGATAGGTTTGTGTTTTGGCTACAACTTGACTACTTGACACTAACAGCCCTATTCTATAAACTATAGCCCTATTCATACGGTGCTAGGGAGCCTAGGTTCTAAGAGCATCCAGTACCTTCTACTGTATCCATCAAACAAACTGCTGTATCTCAGGAGCACACACTTAGGAAGAACAGTGTATGTGTCTTGCTGAGTAAAGGGTAGGAGACCATTAGAGGTTACAGGTGCAGAACTGGAGTGAGCTCATTGTGGTGGTTATTTTCACTTGGGACCAGATTGCTCACCTGAGATTTGGTAATGTTGAGAGACATTTTTAATTGTTGCAGTTGTAGAAGGAGAAAAGGTTGGAGTGGACTATTGAACGTTAGTAAATATGAGCTAAGCTTTTTATTTATACTCTGAAATATACAAAAATTTTTACCGTGATAAAGATTCCATGTCAAGCCTCAATTCCACCATGGACCTTTGCTAGAAGCAAAGAGGGTGAGTAAGTAGACTTTACCACACTTGCAAATACTGTTCATTGACTGTCATTAAAGTCACCCTTTCCTTAATCATTTTTTAGAGTGAAACAGTCATTACCTGTTAGTTTTATGTTTCATTATTTTAAATTTAAACAAATACCATATAATATATTTTGAGCATATATGCCCTCCAAGATCATCCTCATTTTTCTATCCACACAACTTCATATCTTTATTTTTCTCAAAAAATATGATAAAAAGTCAAAACAAACTAAACACCATTGTTTTTTAAAAAATCACACACACTCATTTTTTGAAAGTCTAATAAGAAAGAAATATGAAGAATAACTATCAATTGCAAATAATTCTTTTGCATTTTTATAATAATTATTATTTATTTATTATAACTTTTTCACTTTGTATCCAAGCTGTGGCCAACTCCCTCCTCTCCTCCCACCTTCTTCCCTCTTCTCACCCTATGCCCCTCCCCTAGTCCACTAATAGGGGAGGACATCTTCCCCTCTTTTTTTTAAATTTTAATTTCTATTTTTTATATTAATTGCAGTTTTTTTTCACTTTGTATCCTAGCTGTAGCCCTCTCCCTCAATCCCTCACAATCCCACCCTTCCTCCTTTATTTCCTCCCATGCCCCTTTCCAAGTCCACTGATAGGGGAGGTCCTCCTCCCCTTCCATCTGACCCTAGCCTATCAGGCCTAGCCAGGACTGGCTGCATTGTCTTTCTCTGTGCCTGGGTAAGGCTGCTCCCCAATCAGGGGGAGGTGATGAAAGAGATAGACACTGAGTTTATGTCAGAGATAGTCCCTGTTCCCCTTACAAGGGAACCCACTTAGAGGCTGAGATGCCATGGACTACATCTGTGAAGGGGTTCTAGGTTATCTCCATGCATGGTCCTTGGTTGGAGTATCAGTCTCAGAAAATATGCCTGTGCCCAGACTTTTTTGGTTCAGTTGTTCTCCTTGTGGAACTCTTGTCCCCTCCAGGTCTTTCTATCTCCTCCTTCTTTTATAAGATTCCTTACACTCTACCCAAAGTTTGGTTATGAGCCTCAGCATCTGCTTTAATATCCTGCTGGGTAGAGACTTTCAGAGGCCTTCTGTGGTAGGCTCCTGTCCTGTTTCCTGTTTTCTCCCTCTTCTGATGTCCATCCTATTTGCCTTTCTGAATGAGGATTCATCTTATTACCCAGGCTTCTCCTTCATTCTTAGCTTCTTTAGGTGAACAGATTTTATTATGTTTATCCTATATTATATATCTAATAACCGCTTATGAGTGAGTATATACCCTGTGTGTCTTTCTGCTTCTGGGATACTTCATTCAGGATAATCTTTTCCAGTTTCCACTATTTGCCTGCAAATTTCACGATTTCCTTGTTTTTAATTGCTGAGTAGTATTCCATTGTGTAAAAGTACCACAATTTCTATATCCATTCTTCAACCGGAGGGACATCTGGGTTGTCTCCAGATTCTGGCTATTATGAATAAAGCTGATACAGACATTGAGCAAATGTCCTTTTTGCGGCCTTGAGAATATTTTGGAAATATGCCTAGGAGTGGTGTAGTTGAATCTTGAGGAAATGCTATTCATAATTATCTGAAAAAATGTCTGATTGATTTCCAAAGTGGTTGTACAAGTTTACATTCCTACCAGCAAGGAAGGAGAGTTCCCCTTTCTTCACATCCTCTCCAGAATGTATTGTCACTTGAGTTTTTGATCTGATGTGTGTAATGTGAAATCTCAAGGTCGTTTTGATTTTCATTTCCCTGATGACTAAGGACTTTGATCATTTCTTTAAGTGTTTCTCTGCCATTCTATATTCCTCTATAGAGAATTCTCTGTTTAGCTCTGTACCCCATTTTTTAATTGGATTACATGATTTGTTGCTGTTTAATTTCTTGAGTTCTTTATATATTCTGGATATTAGCCCTCTGTCAGATATAGGGTTGGTGAAGATCCTTTCCCAGTCTGTAGGCTGTCGTTTTGTTCTGATGAAAGTGTTCTTTGCTTTACAGAAGCTTTTCAATTTCATGAGGTTCTACTTTTTTTCTTCTGTCCGACCCTAGCCTATCATGTCTCATCTGGACTGCCTACATTGTCTTCCTCTGTGGCCTGGCAAGGCTGCAACCTCTGGGGAGAAGTGCTCAGAGAGCCAGCCACTGAGTTCATGTCAGAGATAATCCCTGCTCCCCTTACTAGGCAATCCACTTGGAAAATGAGTCTATGGGCTATATCTGAGCAGTGGTTTTTAGGTCTTCTCCATGCATGGTCCTTGGTTGGGGATTCAGTCTCTGCAGGACTCAGAGGTTTTTTTTGGCACTGCTCGTCTCCATTTGGAGTTCCTGTCCCCTCCACCTCTTTCTATCTCCCCCTTCTTTCATAAAA